GCCCAATGTAACACACTTTGTTGGGCCGACGTTGGCAGCCAACGTTGGCGCAATGTCTAAGTGCACTGTGGCCCTTTGTTGGCCCAACATGTTGGGGCGATGTTGGGCCAACGTTCTAATGTATTTTTGTAATCGTAGGGCCAACATTAGACCAACATTGTACATGGCATGTTATAGAAGGGCCAATGTTGGGCCAATACCAGTAATGTCATGTTAATATATTATCGCAATACCGACATTATGCCAACATACTTTATAGCATTGTTAGTGAAGGGCCAACGTTGGGCCAACAATAAATAGCTACGTAAGTATAGAGGCCAACATTTAGCCAACAATAAACGGCTTACGGAGAAAGTGTAGGGCCAACATTGGGCCAACAATAAATGGCTAGGAAAGTGTAGGGCCTACACTGGTCCAACACGGTGGAAAAATTAAATTGATGACACAATGCATGACTAATATTTGATTTACAAAGAATAAAAAATGCCATTTGCAGACAGAGTAAAATGCATGTATATTCACGTCATCCACAACATGGTTCGCATTATTCTAGTAAACTCCATATGATGTGAATTTCAGATTGACATTCAAAATACTCTTTCTTGAATAATACATATCATAATGATTTTTTCAGGAACATTCTGATAAGAAAATAAAAAAAAATCCATGTATTGGCTATTGATTTTAATAGTTGATGTTTTTATATTTTTAAATCTATTATAATTACAATTAAATGTCAAGCAATCCTTCATATTATTAATTTAAACAAAGTTTTCATTCTTTTTCTTTTATTTACTCAGTGTCATTTGCACTTTCTCCTCCTTTTTCATTCTCTTTCCTTTTCTCTTCATCTATCCTCTTCCTCTCTTCCCTTTTTTCCGTCCCCTTCCCGGTCACTGGTAGAGTGAAACCAATCTTTAACAATGGCGCAAATTTCGCTGTCTGTCGCTGCCGCTGTTAGCCTGTTTTTCGGACAGTCCTTCAAAGTAACAAATTTGTAGACATATTGATGACATACTTAATTTTATAGGCTTTAAGTTCTTAAATTTGTGGCCTACTGTTCATTTTGATCAATTAATTTGTACACCTACAACTGAGAGGTGAAAAACAATATTTCCAGCTTTTTAAATGGGACAAAATAACAACTTATACGTTTAAATTTACTAATTAAAAAACTAAATAATTAAATAATGGGGGATTCTTTCACCCCTTCAGAATAAAGTAAATAAAATAATTCTTACTGGTTACTATATACTTGATTCCAATTGATCCGAAAGGCAGGGTCATTGGCAAAAAGGTAGGATAAGAGTCTTATCACAGTGGACTTTACATTTTCTCCTCCAGTTGTGCATAAATTCTTTACCTAAAAGTAAATGCTAACACATTAATTGTGTATATAACTTAAAAGTTTTAAGACAAAACTTTCACCTTGAAATATTTGATTACCCTTATACTGAACCAGATCTTTTGTGTTTGAACTTAAACATTAATGTGCATGTGTGTACGATGTCTGTATAAAAAGGCAGATAGCAAACACTGGACTGGAAAGTTTGACAAAATCAAAGCAAATTATAGAATATACTTACATATATTGTCTAGCGAAGCAGTATATCCAAATTCCTTTGTTCTAACAAATGCAATACGTGTGCACCAAGCTGCTCAAATGCGAAATTGTGAAATGGTTACACGTGCTGACCATCCTGATATATCAGATTTCGCAGTCACCGAGGAAACTGGTCAGTCTCCTGCTGTGAGAAGCAACGATGATGTCGACCTAATTATTTAAGCAGTGAATTTTGCTCTTATCTCAGAATATGCCCCCCTAAAACCAGCACTTTAGCGCAATTATGTAATAGATGTTCCTTAGATTTTATACAAGTCTGTAAATTGTTGATTGAACATAAACTAGTAAAAAAAACGAACACAAACTAAAAACAAACACAAAAATGAAAGCAAAATAAAAAAAGGAACAAAAAGAGAGAAAGAAAATAAAACTAGAGTTACTGTGAGCAATGAGCTCACTAAATAATACCCCCCGCCTCCCATATGAATATAATGGCAGTATCTATGGTTTGCTTTGGAAAATCCAAAATATATGTCAGATCAAAAAGTAAAATAGGAGGTGCACAATGGCAATATGTAATAAACATTCTTTGAAAGTTTCATTAAATTTCCTTCAGTGGTATGAGAGGAGTTGCGGATAAGAGATGGGTACCCCAAAGCGTAACAGACGGACGGACGGACGGACAGACGGACGGACGGACGGAATTAACGATTACTATATACCCGCTCGCTTTTCAAGCGGGGGGTATAAAAAAAGATTCATGTACTTGATAATTGCTCCCAACTGCAGTTTTAGCTAGGGTAAATATAAATTCAATAACGCTTAAAACCCTAGCTAGATCATAGACCCCCTCCCTGGCTGGATCAGACTACCGGCTGGGCTAACACTTAGTATTTTCTACATTCTTTTATTTCATATTAACGTTGGGCCAACGTAGGTAAATGTATTATTCCAACGTCAGAATAGAAACTGTAGTAAAGCGCTAATTGCATAGTGGGGCTAATGCTGGGCCAACGTTATATCTTAACTATTTTTAAACACCATCATTTAGATATATTACATATACGTTGGGCCAACATTGGTCCAGTGTGGTGAGCCCAACATGCAGAAAACTTAATTATAGCATATTCTGCACATGAAGGGTCGTCGTTGGACAATGGTTGTATACCCAATGATCTTGGTCACTATGGATAAGGGAACATTTAAAATGTTGGGCCAACGTTGGTTCAATGCAGTTATTCCCAACGTTAAAAAATACAGGAAAGCTCAGATTTATTACATAGCGCCATTGTTGGGCCAACATTGTCTTCCCAACTTACATTTGATCAAAATAAAAAAGCACCCTATTGGCATTGGCCCAACGTTGGGCCAACGTTAAGTGCCCAACATAGTCATGCTATCTGGGTTAGGACATGTTTTATCTTTTCTCTTGAGTTTTAAAGAAACCAACAAATCATCAAGACTTGTTCCCTGAAAAATTAAATATCATCATGGTAATAAACGCATCTATCCACAGCAGATATATGCACATGCCAACCACGTGCTCAGTGGAATGATATTATCGAGGAAACTCGAGCTGTAAACAGAACAGATTTTCCCGATTTGCTGGAGTGGGGTTAAAATCGCTTTTTTTCATTAATCAGACGATGCAATGCAACAAATAAAAGTAGTGAGTAATATAACCTAACGATTATTACTTAGTAATTTCTTGTCTTGATGTTATTATGGTCGCATTTATTCTAAAACCAATGCTATTCGAACTCTGTGTGACAGAGGAATGGCGGACGAAATAAACACATGGCCTCAGGAAGACACCCATATGAAAAATCAAATTTTCAAGAATTATGGATAATGACAAGAAAAAAGCGAAACAAATGGTTGTAGCCATATTATCAATGAATCAAACTAACGCTATATTCAATGCATTTTTCATCTCGTGAATGCTGTAGCTGCACAGTTCTAACGTGTCTGATTAATTTCCTCCTAATTAAAACAAAATAAACTTAATTATTAACTGATTTTGGTCTCTAACAGTAGGTAATTAGTGCATTAGCACTTTGAGTAACTTTGGGCTAGTTTAGTAGAGTATTAAGCGCATTCTTGGTATTTCTTATTTTACACCAGACTAGATCCAATATGGCTTGTACATCCCCCTTAAACTGCAATTGTTGTGTAGGGCAGTCTTGCACGCTTTATTTGAATGGCTAGGACCGGTGTTTTAACAGTGATGTGTTACTTTCTAAAGTTAAAAGATAATCATTAAACATTTTTATCAAATTCTGATGTTCTGAAAAGTAAGATTAGCTTACTGTATTCATTTTTCGAAAATTGTAAGGTAAAAAATTCAAATATATATAGATTACTGCTTGTTGCCTTTCTTTTGCGTTTCAGTATACATAATTATGTTTATCTTGTTTTTATACGAAGGTGAACATGGTAATTTACATAACACTTAAAAAATGGTCTCATAAAAAATTAAATACATGTATTCAGATGCAAATAAACTGGGGAATTTAATAAATCAATCTAAATTGAAGTTCTCCCAATAAACAAAACAGATTGCAGTATTAGAAGAAAATTAGATTGAGTTAATTTTAAACTTTGTGATATGGACTGCACTGTTATACATGCATAAAAGAGTCGATATTGATAACCTGTATTATGTAACACTAGTATCACGATGATGTTTTAGCGATTTTTTTTTAAAGATTTTATCACATGTCAACTTCCCACTTCACATGACGCAAACAAAATATTTTATTAAGGTCCATTGACCCTCTGTTATAAATTTCACAGAAACAAACTCAGACGCACAGAAAGACATACTTAGTTGACGTAAAGCGTTCATCATGATTAGTAATCATTCTATTTACTGCTAAGATAGAAAGTAGTAGGTGTTCTGTCAAGCGGAATCCTATAGATACAACGTGGAAGTTACCACTAAATTCATAATTATCAAATACCGTTATGCCTTTCAGTTGTTTCAGACATTTAAAGCTCTAAACATTACTATTTTCAGAGGTCTCTGGTTTGAAAAGGACCTAGATGTTGTTTACTCAAATTTTGCGTTAGCACTATTTAAAAATAACTTTTCATTATTATAAGATTTAAGGTTTTTTCCATTGAAAATGCAAATACAAGTAAGTGGAGCCTCATTTATCCAGATGCTTTGACTCCTAGTCAATTTGTCCGGATATGTGAAGTGTCCAGATACCTGAATCACCAGATCAACAAGACAAAGTAATGTTAAAAAAATTCTGTTCAGATTAAAAACTGTCCGGATACTGAAGCATCTGGATATCTGGCATCCGGATATCTGAAGGTCCACTTTACCGAGCTAAAAAAGACCATTCCTCAAACAAACCTTACCAATTTATTCTATGACCATGAAGTAAAAATAACACTACTATTCTTCCGTCATATAACAATATGAACAATCATTTGGGGTTTTATTTATAAATTTGTTTATAAAAAACTTTTTTTATGTTTTCATTTTCGAGTGAGACAAAAACAACTCTGACATCACACAAAAACTTCCATAAGTGACATAGAATATTTATTTTACAGCATCTCGTCTACTAAACACGTAAAATAAAAAAAAATATTTTTTTGTAATTCCAGCTTCTAAAAATACATCAACATGCATTGATTGTGGTCTGTTTCTTTGTATATTTTTCTAGGTCTTCCCAGGTAAACAATGTGCACTTGATCTTACTGCACTGAGAAATCATATACTCAGTACATGTATGATGTCACTAACTTAATAAGCATAAAGAAATAGAGACGTGGATCACTAAATTTCATATTTTTTTTTTATATCTACACGATCATTTAAAACTCTACATTAACATAATTTTACATTAAATGTTTAAACTTAACATGTTGAATAAAAATTTCACAAAAATAATGATGTTTTTAACAACGTTTAGCACCTAATATTAACAGTGACTATGACATAGTAAATTCAGCCATGTGACATGTGTCCTAGCTGTCTCCCTTTAAAATACAATATTCAACGTTCAATGATAGTTAGACAATTAGATTGCTTTTATCAGTACTCTGTCAGTTGTTGTTTTATGGTATTTGTTTTTAGAGAGAGCCAGCCAGCCACTGAAGAGGGAGCTGTTCTCTTTCAAAAATACTGCAAATCAACTTTAAAATTTATTTACGTGCAAGAAATATTTACGAGCTGAGATTTGTAGGAGCCTTGTCATCACGGATATTTCTCGCCTTGAACCAGTCCTTAAAGCCAACAGATCAAAAAAAAGGCTTATTGCCAAAATTTATTGTTGCGAACTAGTTTTCCCCAGATAAATCGTAAAATAAAGTCTTCGCAATAAAAGTCGGTTTACAGTAATTACAAGTAAATGGAAGAAAATCAATACTCAAGTTAAAAGATAATTATAAATAAAATATGCAGATTAACATTGAAATCTCTTAGATAAAACAATAGTGCTAACTAAAAATAAAATATCTGTGAAAGACTTTACAACTTTTAAACAATTAAAACATGTAAAATAAAACAACAGAAATGAATAAATTTAACAATATAAATATAAATCTATCTTATCCTGAAGATGGCTAACAAGCCCAGGGGCCACAGCGCTCACCTGAGCACATCGGCTAGGAAAAAGCACATATCAGATCAGAACTGAAAGTTTATTGAGGTTGGGGGGGGGGGGGGCTTGAATTTTAACACTCCAGGGGATCATGATTTGAATGAACTAGAGTTCACACTACCTGAGGATGATTCCATATAAATATTACTAATCATGGTTTTAAAGTACTTGAAAAGAAAATTTATAAAAGTTTTCCCTATATATTCCTATGTAAAACTATGGTCGGCCATTTTGGCCCCACCCTAGCCCCGGGGGTCATGATTTGAACAAACTTGAATCTACACTACCTCAGGATAATTTTACATGAGTGTCATCTTCCCTGTCTCAATGGTTCTTAAGAAGAAGATTTTTAAAGATTTTCCCTATATATTCCTATGTAAAACTTTGATCGGCAATTTTGGCCCCACCCTACCCCTGGGAGTCATGATTATAAGAACTTGAATTTACAGTACCTGAGGATGATTCCACATGAGTTTCATCTTTCCTGACCCAGTGGTTCTTGAGAAGAAGATTTTTAAAGATTTTACCTGTATAATCCAGTGTAAAAATTTGATCAGCCATTTTGGCCCCACCCTACCCCCGGGGGTCATGAATTGAACAAACTTGAATTTACATTACCTGAGGATGCTTCCACACAAGTTTCATCTTTCTTGGCCCAGTGGTTCTTGAGAAGAAGATTTTTTAAAAATGCCAGTAATTTTTCACTAATTCATAATTATCTCCCCTTGGAAGAGGACATAGCCCTTCATTTGAACAAACTTGAATCCCCTTCACCTAAGGATACTTTGTGGCAAGTTTGGTTGAAATTGGCTCAGTGGTTCTTGAGAAGAAGATGAAAATGTGAAAAGTTTACGACAACAACGACAACAATTACAACGACAACAGACAACGGACATTTTGATCAGAAAAGCTCACTTGAGCCTTCTGCTCAGGTGAGCTAAAAACTGAGGATACATTTCAATCATCCTTAGAAATACTAGACTCATATGATACATGTATACATCTATCTTATCCTTATGATGGATCACTGAGGATGCATTTATCTTTTCCTTAGGAATGATAGTCTAAGACTAGTATACATGATACATGTATAAAGTCTGAGGTTATATTTATCTCATCCTTAAGAATAATAAAACTAGAGAATACATTTATCTCGTCCCTAGGAATGATAGACTCTGATAACCTCTGTGATGTCTTTCCTACAGATCGGACATCCGTCCCGTCGGTTGTGTAACATTTTAGAACACTCGTAACACGTGATCATGTGATGACAGGGACACAGTAAACAATCCCGGGCTTTGTTCATACAGATTCCACACTCTGTGTCTACTGTGGTAGACTCGCGGCGATTCTCCTTCACCGGTGCCACATTACCGTCGTGTGACAGAACCGGGATCTTCTTCTCAAACATACACGGGATTCCAGAGGAGTTCAGTAACTGCTCTACTCTCACTGAAAGTTAAAACAAAACAAATTATAATCTTCCTTTGTTTTAATATTTTGTGAAAAATATGGGGCAAGAATCAGGAAAAAAGTTTCTTATCCAAATAATTGTATGTTGTGAATTAGAAGTGCAAGTAGGTCAAAGTGGCCTAAGTTTGCAATTGTATGGCTTCGTTTACCTATAACATTCAGAAATAATGCACATTTTTTGTCTTCTCTCTCTAACATAATTTAGTGGCAATGCTTTTCTCTCTCTTTGATAATAACTTGCATGCTCCTCTCTGTCTCTCTCACTCTTTCTGTTGTGTATGAGTATTTCATAATTAACATCTCCTTCTTTGTCTCTTCTCCCTCCCTCTCTAATATTAACTAACATGCTTTTCTTTCTTCTCTCTCTCAGTCTCTCTCAATCTCTGATGTAACTCACCTGATTCTTTCTTTCTCCCTTTCTCCCTAATTATTAACTTACAAGCTTTTCTTTCTTCTCTTTGTTCTTCAGATAAAATCAGAGGATGGTTTCCAGATCTAAAAAATAATGTCTTTCCCATCCTCTCTAGCATCACACGAACTGCAAGATATACATCAAAAAATTAAATTTCCACATGTAACTATAAATGAATTAAACAAATATTATTAATTAATCATATCTTGTGTACTTCTTGTGAACTGCTTTCCTTACTTACACTGTACTGTATATTCTCATAGATGTTTGCCTTGTTTTAATTTTCCAAGAAAACCAAAATTTCGTATTCTACTTTAAACTTATTAAATAATTATGTTCTATAAATTAATTTATTTTTTTCCAATTTCTAATAAAACTCAGTTATAACAAAGTCACTGGGACCTGTGAAATTACTTCGATAATCCATATTTCATTATACATGTATCTGTATTGATCCAAGAAAACTTTGCTATATCTATGAATTTGCAATATCCCTGTTCATACTAAAACACATTTAATTGTATAATATTATTTACAAATAAAGTAATGTTAGTTTACAGTTATTTATCGTGTTACCTTTCTGTATTGACTTCTGTGCTGTAAAGCTTGCGGGATTTATTTCCACCTCAGGAATGTAATACACAGGATAAAGGAAACGCAGGCCTAGTGATCTCTACAAAACAAACAAGATTCAAAGCTATTACAATACAGGTATAGAAAAGTTATCACTCTTATCAGAGGGTTGATCCCCCTGGCTGCTACACATATATGTATATATATATATATGTAGTTGCTTAAAGCAATAAGAGCTTGATTTTTGAGAATTTTATTTTGCTGGTAATGTACGTGTTATTAGGATTAATCTGTATGTAATCTAAACCCTTATGATCAATAAAACCAAAATAAAGTTTAAAAATGTTTCAGAAAAATATTTCTGAACAACCGAATATACAGCATTACCGGCCGGTATATAAGAAATCAGTATTGTGCAGGATGACAATAATTCAATTTTGCTTCAATCAATGCGTAAAAAAGATTCTTTTATAGCAAATATGAACAACAGAAGTTTATAAAAGTTCTATTTTTATTTTTAGTGAGCCATAATTTTAGCAATTTCAGTACCCTTGCTAATAATGCCAATATTAAATCCTCGCAAAAAATTCTGCTTATATGGTATGTCCTTTCGCAACAATTTATGAAAAAGCTTGCCTAAGACTAAATATACTGCGCACACTAAAATATAAATTAAAGAGAGACTCCTTAATCAAAATATATCTATCATCTGTTCGACCAGTAGTAGAATATGGGGATGTGGTATGGGATAATTGCAATGAAGAACAATCTAAATTATTGGAGAGTGTGCAGGTGGAAACTGCAAGAATAATTACAGGCATTAGGTGTAATACATCAAAAAGTAATTTATATAAAGAGTTGGGATGGGACACTTTAAGTTCAAGAAGAGAAAATCATAAGCTCACATTGATGTATAAAATACTTAATAATCTTACCCCTGATTATATGAATAATATGCTTGAAGGATGTATGCCAATCCAGAATAATTATAATTTGCGCAACCCTAATTCATATCGAATCCCAATCATTAGAACAGTGTCATACTACAATAGCTTTGTACCTTCCACAATATCCTTGTGGAAAAATTTATCTGATGATTGTAAAAACTCCCCTACATTACAAACTTTTAAGAATAAATTAAACTCTACCACTCCTATCCAGAAAAATAAATATAAACTTTACAATTATGGTAATAGAATTGAAAACATAATACACTGCCAGTTAAGAAATAAATGTAGTAACCTTAATGCTGATCTTTTCAAAGATCACTTAAACGAATCACCAACATGTACAAATTGTGGATATCAAAACGAGAACTCACTGCATTTTTTCTTGTATTGTCAACAATATACCTCACAACGACAATTACTGATTAAATACATGAATGAAAATAACATACCAATTAATATAGAAAACATATTATATGGTGTAGACTCACTAACTCTGGATAAACATTTTTCATTTTTTGATCATGTACATACCTTTATAAGAACCTCCAAGAGGTTTTCATTGAAATTTTAGTTTATTATGATATTCTATGGGAAATATAATATTTTAGGTAAACTGCTCTGTTAGGGAATTCTTCCTACTTTGGGACAACAACAATTGCTCAAACATATGTTTTTGTTTTTTGTTTCTTTGTTTTTCTTATTTTTTGGTTTTTTTTTTCCTTTTTTGTTGTTTATATTTGATTATATAATTATTATTTTTCCTATCCATTTGTTAAATTATTTTTTTTTCTATTCATTTCTCTCTCTCTCTCTCTCTCTCTCTCTCTCTCTCTGAATTAATTCTAAATATGTACCAATTGATAATCTACTCTTCATACATTTCTTTCAATGTTTACATGTACTTGTAATTGCATGTACCTTGACCTATGGAGAGAACGATCATAGGCATTTATGCCTGCTGTTCAATCCATTTCTTTGTGAATAAAATATATTTTAAAGTATGTCCTTTCAACCACCAGCTAGTATTCCCTTTAATTACCACCTTGTTTTTAAGTCATTACCTAGGTAAGGGAATTAATGCTACACATGTATAATTGTATATATACTATGATTGGCTAGGTATTATTATAATTTAAATACAGAACATTCTCACCTCTTTGTTCAACACACCAGACATGACATCATCAATGTTTAGTCGCAGTGTGTTACTTCCAATAATGGCATCACTTTTACATATATGAGAGACCCCTACAATCAACATACAGAGAATAAATATTGCAACACAACAGAAATCAAACAAAATGTTTTCCTTGAAATAGGTGATTAATCCCCAGGCATATTGATATATAAAAATAACTTGTGTGTAATTTTGAAACAATATTTTTTTTTTACATATAAATATATAGATACACATATGCATGTAGATGTATCTGTTATACTTTTATCATAATTATGGAGTAAAAGTGGGTCAAATCCATGAAATACTTTTTTCCATATATTTTTTTAAATTATTTTAAAGCCACTGCATTAAAAATGCAATTAAAAATACCTTTTCAATGAATGAAATATTTTAACTGAATCTTCCTTGGATAAAATTTAATAGTCACTTAATCATGTTAATTATTTAACATTCTAAATTCATGTTTGAACTGATTTCAAAGTATGAGACATTTCTTTTAATTTGAAACATCAAAGATATAAAATCATGGTAAATTAAAAGCATAAATGCCAGTTGTTAATTAGAAAAGTCAATATTTAGAAAAGGCATAAACCATATATAGTTCTTGGTTTAAAATATACTAAATGACACCCCGTCTCTCCTTTATTGGTAATAAATGTGCTTAAGACCTTAAACATTATGTTTTTATAAAAATATAATAAAGTGGCAGACATATCTTTTTTTTAACTTACTTTCCAGTAAATCTTTCTTGATCTCTAAATCCTCTTTCACAGCCTCAAAAATAAACTCAGCGTCACTCACAGTTTCTTCTAGGCGGCTCATACACAGGACCTGACCCTGTGTCAAAGGTCAAATACAATGAATGTTATTATTAGCATTTTGATTAGGGGTCATACTATAATATGTACACGTAATATTTATCAATTGAAACAGACTACAGTTTGAGGTTTTATGAAGAAAATCTCTGTGAACCTTGTCTCAATTTTTTTAATGCATTCTTCTGATTTCTAATTTGCATTTTTTATCAAGTGCAATGCTCAATTTGGTTAGGCCATTTCTTAGGGGAAGTATAGCTGCAGATCTGTAGCGTTATGGTTTTATATATTTGTCTTTGACCATAACGCTACAGATCCAGTAATGCAAAAAATGTGCAATTTACGGTGCAATATTTCATATTTTTTGAGCACTTTTGGGGAGATTTTCTCCACTTTCTACCATTGGTCAATCAACTACCTTTCACTCCATAATTCTAGTACTAGGCACACTATTTAACTAATCTGCATATTTTATTCATCTCCCAACCCTTTATAATCATGATATTTGTCTCTACAAGTGATAAACTTGCTAGATTAAAATTATTTGTTAAACTGCTGAAAATTCACTTCAAGTACGTTTATTGCCTGTAGAGACAACTATAAATGATTGGGAAGTGGATAAAATAATTATATATATATTGGCTACAGAATGCGTCTAGAATTATGGCGTGAAAGGGAGTTGATTGACCAATGGTAGAAAGTGGAGAAATTCTCCCCAAAAGTGTGCAAAAAATGTTGCGCCATAAATTGCACCTTTTTGCATTACAACCATAATGCCAATCTCTCACCAGAGGGCGCGCTCCGCTTACACCTCTGTTGTCGTCTAAAAAGTAGCGCGGGTTGTCAAATAATTATTTGTCAACAAAAATTGTTAGACATTGATTGTTTTGTATGATTTCTCAATGATGTTACGTGTTTTAAGCTCTCTGGTAGTAATTGAATATTTCCTGACTTTTGTCTCCTTGGTTTCAAAATGAAAATATGTGTAAAAATTCAGAACAAAATAGTGCCGTATATATTGAAGCTATTTTAATATATATATAAATTTTGAAAGAACAAAACAAGTGCTACAGATTGATATTTCTAATTTCATTTAAGAAAAAATACCAAGTTGGTGGAAATCTATAATTTATTTACGTTTTACAAGATTCTTGTAATTTAGACGATAACAGAGGTGTTGGAGCGATGAGCGTAAAACGCCCTCTGGTGAGAGATTGCCATAATGCTACAGATCTGCAGCTTAGGGAAGCACTGCTTAATTACCACAAAATTCTTCTGAAACAGAATGCCGTCTTCCCTGAGCTGTTTCTTGTCATCTTCCAGAACATTAAACACGGAATTCAGAGCCGGAATATTGATGTCCCAGACATTCACTCGGTGACCATGATAAGCCAGCTCACCTAAAGGGAAAAAATACCATTAATTTAACATGTTTAACTTGCATCTTGCTATCCATGCAGTATTTAATATTGTCTGCAGCAAGCTTTTTATTTAATCATTTAAACACAACCTTTACTCAAGCCTGAGTGAAATGCCTCCATTCACTCCACTTTCCAAATTATAGATATTCATTTCAAAGGCTGTTCAAGCTATGCATGCAGTCATGTCGACGTAAGAGGAATTTCGGATTACATGGTCAATGGCCATGACTCGAACGTTTTAAGTTAGGCTAATCATGTTACATTTGATACAAGAAAACTTACCTGCTATTTTGGTACCAAGCAAGCCACAACCTAAAACAGCGATTTTCATAATTAAATGTCCTGGTTGTCAACAATGACGAAATAAAATCTACATTTTTATCTGCACATATTGTTTGTTTATGTTGCCTTCCTCCATCTTGGATTTTCGCAAGCTTTGGAGGGAGTATCTATTAATTAAGATTTTAATAAATTTCTGATATTTGATAAAAAAAATTCTTTAACAATTAATACAGATTCTTTTATCTGTCTATTTCAAAATTAAAAAAGAGAAAAGAAAGCTCATACGTAACTTAGATCGATAATTTTTTTTAGAAATGTACTTTACAATCACTTCTCCCCCAAGAACGGTAACTTCGTCCAGAATCACAGGATGAGTAAATCGGAGCCTCCAGTTCCAGGGAATAACAGGAAAGCTGTAGCATTACAACGATGGAGAATCTTAAGACAGGTGCCCCTTTCTTTGTTTGTTTGTTTTTTTTTTGTTGTACATAAGCATTTTGTGTAGTTGATCTTTAAACGGTACGGTAAGAATTCTAGTAAGATGAAATAAAAATTGGATTTTGACAGAAAAAGTGGCAATTAACTCTGGTATCAAAAGCAAAGAAAGCCTTTTCAAAGAATTGAAATTTAAGCAAAATATTGTTTTTGAAACTGAATAAACGACATATTTTAATATTCTAAAATTAATTTTTATTCAATATGTAACCACGTTTGAATATAATGTACTTTTCAATAGGCATTGAAAGGCAGCAGTTCATCAGAGACGTGTACAAGTGATGTCTCAGTCCGGCGATTTGCTGGTTATGGTCTACTGAAGACGGAGAAGTTGTCCGTGACACCCGAGGGTAGTGTGTGGTACAGATACACAGCCCCTAACCAGCCCGGGTTCAGCATGGCAGTCAGGTGTGCCAAAGTAGTACATTGTATCACTTTATAGGACTTCTAGACTGAAAAAGTTGAGGAACTCAGTTAGTGTTGTCAAATGGGTTGAAACTCAGAATCGACTAATCGGTAACATCGGTTGACCCTAACCGACTGATCATCGGCCAATAATCGAATCGGTAACCCTTTGCATAAAATAGGCGTTAGATTTTATAAAAATGAGAATTTTATTGTTAAATAATGTAAGTAAAGATGCATTGTACAGATCAAAATTCTAAAAACAGTATATATGCAGTTTGATTAACGATTTCAGTAATACAGATTTTTGCATGATTAGGAATTACTTGGCCTGGGAAAAGTAAGCATTGACAGATCAGGTTTTAACTTACAAGATCATCTAAAATGTATATGGAATTAATTTTTTAAACTGTTATAAGACATTTAATATTGCAAATTCTTTGTGATTCCGTATGAAATGACAGGTGAATTCCCCCAAATACTGAAAATTGACATATTTTATTTAAACAAGTTGTTTAGTTTCTTCAGTTTAGAAATACAAATATCATTATCTTTTGATTTATTTTAAACAGATTTTAAGTACATGTATTCTAAAATAGTAAAGGACAACTCTTGAAAGATATATATTTTGATAACAAGAGCCTGTTCTTGAAATAAAAGTGAGAAAATTGTGAAAAAAGATATGTGCTGAAATATACCGATTAATCGATTGTTAAAATCTCCAATCGATTGTCTAAAATCTACAACCTTTCCGACCGATCATCGATTATAAATCGATCATCATGACAACACTAATTACTCAGTTGTATTTGATTTTTTTTTTTGGGGGGGGGGGGGTGATTGATTGATATTGTTTAATGTTTCAATGGGGATTTTTTTCACTCATATGGAGATGCCACCTTTTGCTGCTGGAGAGATGCAAATTTTTGTCTTATACTCACCACTCAGGACCATTGAGCTGGGAGTGATCTCTTTTGTGCCAGGACCCACTGCGACACGGGACCTCAGTTTATACGGTCTCATCCAAAGAACCAAGTCTCCATGTCCCACAGTAGGATTCGAACCTGCAACGTAAGGATTTACTCCTTACTTCAAGACTTTAGAGCAGACGCTTTACCACTTTGCCAGATGGGCGACAGGGGAGGGAGCACACAGATAGGATCAAGAGTTCATTTAATCTTGACATGCTTTAAGACAATTAATGTAATTAAAATTTGACCTTTCATCTTGCTCTTCGTAATTTTCAAAAGCGACAAATAAAATTACGAAGACCAAGACGAAATATGTAATTTTAATTAAATTGATTTTAAGATTACATGTAGGTCAAATATATATATCATGTTGAACTGCATTAATGGAGAGTTAGTACATGCATTCTTTATTAGATTTAAATATCAAATAATTTGAAAATGCATGTTTAGAGACCTTTTGAAAAATTATTTTGTTTTAAATATCAATAATCTCAAGTTCAATATATAATCAGTTGTCATGGTAAAAGTTAACATAAACCATATAAAAACAGAGTTCAAATTTAGGAAAGAATAAAAAAAAAGAATAAGTGTTTTCAATAGTCATGTATTTAATTTGAATCATTTCAGGCACCTGCCAGGGACTATAGATGCCAGTACACTGTTGGGGTTCAACAATACTGGCAATGTTTGTAAGTATTGTAATCAGCATGAAATGTAAAGGGAAGTAACTCCTGATTTCTTATCCACAGAGTGTTGGAAATCCATTCCTGCACATTAATGTTGACAAATTAATGTGACAATCATTACAGGTGTGTGGCCAGCAGAGGAAGTCATGACTGATTACTGCCTGAAAAACTCAGAACAATTCAGGTCAAATATTTCATTGAACGCTTAACACTTACATGTGTATTGGCCACATATCTGTTCAAAAGACATTTAAGCTAGGAAATGACTTTTGGTCCCTGTTGAATAAAAGAATTTTGAATTTCTGATCTTTTCTAGTCAAATCACCACCATGACCAAAATTATAAACTTCAAAATCATGCAATAAACTTTTTCACAATTAAATCTTATTACAAAATTAAAATGAAACTGACAATATTGTAATTAATTTATTTTGTAGGGACTGTTCGGTTTGTGAGCTGGGAGGAGGTATGACCTGCTTGGCTGGAGTTGCAGTATGTAATTAACCAATCAGAGCAGTTAATCTCTGCATAAAATATTCATATGGTTCAAATTATCAAATGTTCGGACAGGGAAATAGCTATACCTCTTTATTCATGTGGATTTGCAGCCCAGCAGGGCTGCATGAGGAGATTGCATTAAATTTATCCATACGATCACTCTCTCATTTATATTTTCAATAAAGTATGTTTTAGCAAAGTGCCAAACATAAATAATCTTCAATAATTAAAGATGGAACGTGATTGCTATAAATAACTACATTGTATACTAATGATAAGTTCTTACTTTTTTTTAACCATAGGAAAAAAGATCATTTGACTGAAAACAAATTCATAAGAATAAAACCCTTACATTTAACTATTCTTCTCTATACTTGTATTTTACAGGAAAAAAACACAATTTAATCTTTCATTTTAGTTGGCCATTGTTTCCAAAGCAACCAGCATACTACTAAGTGATGGTAATGAAGAATCTGTCCACAGTAAGTAAAGGGAATATAAAAAGTTGAATCCAAATATTTGAAAAAATATGGTTTTTTTTAATATATTATAGTAAACATTATAGGTTTGATTTACTGCATTTCAGTGATATTTTTTCAAAAAATTGCATTTGACTGTAAACGTTGAAAGAGCAGGTGATAAAATGAGTAGCATGCATTGACAAGTACTAGATAACCAGTTTACTTTGACAGATCTAAATGTTATACTGGATCATGAAGAGAACCAGTCAAAGTTTGGCAACACAAGTGTCTCGTCAAGGTATGTTATAAAAGACAGGTAAATTCATCAATATCTCTCTAATTCTGGATAGGTTTGACCTTGTTGAATACAGTTGATAATATTGTAGATTCTTATTTTAAAAGCGAGGAATTTATTATTAGTGAAAAATAATACCGCATTAAATGGTAATTTTTAATAGTGAGATACAAATTTAGTGTTTCGTCCTTAAAAAATGATATTTTATATTTTATTTTTAGCAAGAAGTAATTTTAGCAATTTCAAAAGGTTCATTAAAGAAGTTATTACAAATAAAATGCAATTAAATTTGAGCGATTTCAACGCCCCTGCTAATAATGCCAAATCCTAGCACCCATACCCCAGTGTTTCTGTTACAAATTAAAAAAAAAAACTGATATTTTTATTGTAGAGGAAATTATATGCAGAAAACTGGGAATAGTGATCTCAAGCAGGAAGATATAGAGAAGAAATTTGACTTTGTCTTATGTGACTGATATTTTATTTTATTGTAGACTTATTCACTGGGGTAGTGATACCAAGCATGTAGATGTAGAGAAGAAGTTTGACTTTGTCCTATGTGACTGATATTTTTATTGTAGACTTATTCGCTGGGGTAGTGACACCAAGCATGAGGATCTAGAGAAGTTTGACTTTGTTTTATGTGATTATGTGACAGATATTTTATTGTAGACTTATTCGCTGGGGTAGTGATACCAAGCATGAGGATCTAGAGAAGAAATTTGACTTTGTCTTATGTGCTGACTGGTGAGTAATAAAATGGAGTGTAGGAGTTACCAACCTTGAACAGCAAGTCATACTTTTAGTTGTAAATAAGTTTATCTTTTAACATGGGGATTAAGCCATTTTAACATAGAAAAGTAGGTTTTTTAAACCATGGGTTAATTTTGCACAAAAATAAAAAATTATATTAGTAGACAGCAGGCCAGTTGTACATGGGGTCAAACTCAACCTTTTTCTTTTGAATTATTTGCAGTTCAAAAAATAAATTGACATCTGGTTTGCTTTTGTTTAGGTTTTAGTTGTACTTAGCATAGCTTACTGATTTGTTTAAAGTATGAAGTCGTGGTGGGCTGGTGACCTGTTGATGTTTGCTAATCCTTCATTTCTTTTTTTCAGTCTGTTCTTTGATGAAGGCAGGAATGATCTAGCAGATTTAATTTTTGACATTCTTAAACCTGGTGTAAGTTTTTTTCAAAAAGTTTGAATTTTTTTTTTTCTGTAGGCAACAATACACATATGTTTCCTTTGATAATAATCACATACTAAAGATCACCATATTATTTATTAGATTGCCATAATTTTAATAAAATTTTACTTTTGTTAGATATAATTTTTATATATTTATATCTAAAGAAATGGTGATATCCAATTTTCATGTGCATTTTTGGTAATTACACAGAAAAAGTGAATTAAAGTATTCGATTTAACACGTATCTGTATCATGTGACGATGCTTTGGATTTATTACAGGGTATGGCCATTTTATATGCCCCACGTCGAGGCTCTACTTTCCAGGCATTCAGAGATGTAGCTCAGAAACGATTCGAGGTGGACGTCAAAGAAATGTACAGCTCAGAGATCTGGGATCTCCACTGTAAGGTAGGATAGAAATAAAGATGGTGGTATCGTAGAAATTAAAACACAGTCGCTGTCTCCAACTCAACAGGACTTGGAAAAAAACTGAGATATCCAAGTATTTAGCTGGGGTCCATTTTATAAAAGAATTTACGACTGAGACCAAAATTTATTTTGCTTATAAATTTATTATTTGCATGAAATTGAAAATAGTTTTAAACTTTTTAAAAGAAATGTAGAAAGATATTTTCATGACAGTAATTCTACGCTCAATCACGAAAGTTTACAATCAATTCAAGTTTTTGGTCATATTAGTCGTAAGTTCTTAATTTGTAAATGCACCCCAGGTTATGAGGGGTAAAATAGTAAAAGAATAAGTTTTGGGGACTTCTAATAGAAGACTTTTAACATATTAATGGTATTTGAATGTAAAAGGGGTAAAAAGAAAAAGAATAAAATAAACTACTTTGACAATATCTGATATATAAATGTTCCAGACACCCAAGTGCAGCTGTACAGTACGTGTTTTGTGTTTTTGTTCTTTGATTTAGAATAATAATATTTCTAAGATACACTGTATTAAGATACACTGTATAAGTTATATTAAAAATATGTAAATTTTTGAAATGTGGTATTTTGTAAAATTTTTAAAGGAATATAACTACTGTCAAACCTTGTTTTCTGGAACTCAATAAGGCTGAGAAAAAAAACTTGGAGATATCCAAGAACTTGAGATATCCAGTGTAAAATACTTAGAGAATAAGGGATCAGACTTCCAAATCACTCGGACATATCCAGAGTACTGTGGTTTCATCAATATTCGTCGAGCACCAATTTTCAAGGAATTCATTGTTGAACAGATCCATGAAATTAAATGTTCATTGAATTGAGAAATGTGTTATTCATCTGTATAGGCAATGCTTTCATCCACGAAATTATGTATCCTCGAAAAATGGATGAAACCACAGTATTCGAGAGATTGGTGACTGAGATACAGAAGTTCAACTGTATAAAATTTGATATCATAAAAAATTTGTCAAATTTATAAATTCAGAAATGAAATTTTCAAACAGTATTTAATTTCATGTTAGAAAACAATCTCATATTCATTTGGTAGATTATCTATTGATCTGTCAAAAAATTACTTAAAATTTTATTTTTTTTGTTTCAAATATATATTTTGGTAAAGAAAATTGTTTATTTAACCATATATTGCTTATTTTTCCAAACTTTAATTAAATGAATTACAAACTTATTGAGTGGATTGCCTGAAAAAAGCCATTTTTGAGAAAAATTATCATACGCTTTGGTAATTAAGTTTGAGATGAGTGAGTGTTCATTTGTATGTTGTTTAACGTCCCTCTTGAGAATTTTTCATTCATATGAGGACGCCATCACTTGCTGCTAGAGAGCTGCAGATTAAGTCTAATATTCGGCACTGTGAGCATTGAGCAGTGAGGGATATTTGTCCAGCTAGCAAGTACCAGACCAAATGAATTTTAGTGAAGCAAATATGTTTGGAAGTTCTAAGAACAATAGAAGAAGTAAAAAGGGAAAAAAAATAACATGAAAGAAAATTGTTATTTTGTGTGAAAACAAGAAAATTTCTGGTGTCCTTGACATTGTGCATAATGGAATGTAATGAAATGTTTTCTTACTTTCCTTTACATAATGCTATGGGACTGCCAAACTGTAGCACGTACACCATTCCTTTCACTATACAAAAAATTCAAAGCTGAAACAGTTTTTCTTGCCTATGAATGATGAGCTAGTTCTGAAGCTACATTTGTTTTCAAAGTTTTCCAAAAACCAACATGACTGGATCATCTGACCTTTGGAATGCTTCTTATTTAGTGGAATGTTGGGGGTTTGTAAATTCTCAGACAAAACTTCCGTGTTACGCAAAAGTTCACTGCTAGACAAATTGTGTGGAACCACAAATTTTTCTGTAAGAAACACTTCAAAATGTTAAAATATATATCATTTATGTAAGGAATTATGAAACACAAGTTTATATATTTTTTTAAACTTTGTAGTTATATAACTTATTTTACTGCCTACATTACATATCAGACACTCTGATGTAATAATAGAAACAGCTACATAGACTGAAGTATACCTCACATTGGGTATTTTTTGCAGTTGCAAATTTTGATTTTAATTTTGTAAACATGGTAAAGAAAGTACCATTTTTTTCATTTTTGTCACCGGCTTTTGTAAAAGTGAAGGGATACGAAATCTCATTTTCTATCATGACTATGTCTGTCATAAAACTTTAACCTTAGTAGAAGCATCCCCTAACAAAGAGCATTTTAATCCCAATAAAATTAATTTGGCTTGAGCTAATGCTAATTGGTAATGCATTGCAATGCATTACACGAACTCAATGTAATGTATTACTTTAAGAAAATAGAGTAATGGTAATTTAATGCCCAAATTGTTGAAGTAATGGTAATGTTATACAATTATTGCTGTTTTTTGAGCTCAATACAATGATTTAGCCATCTGAGGAGTACAATATTCACCGAGCCCGAAGGGCGAGGTGAATATTGTACTTCGAAGATGGCTAAATCACTGTATTGACCTCAAAAAACAGCAATAATTGTTTTATTATATGATTCACTAATAAAATGATACAGCTCATTACTTGCTTGCATTTAATTAAGTCCTAGCCAAATACAAGAGAGAAACAGAATTAAAATGTGAATAAACCTTACCAGTCGTATCAATTTGAAATGTTTTTTTTGTTTTTAATAAATTTTAGTTGCCATGAAAAAAATAATATAATGTCAGTCTTTTTATAGGATAGATTTCGAAAGAAGGAGTATTATCAGGGAAAACTGACTGCCAAAAAGTAAAAAAAATACATGTTGTTCAGTAAAAGTGTTGGAGGGGGGTCCATGCATCCTCTATTACCACCCTCATCCTAAAATATAAATTTTGTTATGTTTTTTAACATAAAAAAAAACATCACAGTCGTTTAATTAGCTTTCCAAAACAATTTGTATCAATTTGGAATTTCCCTATCTATTTTTAGATCAATGTAGAGGAAATAAATTCTTGTATTGACCTGGAATGTCACGTGCAGGTCAATACAACGTATTTTTCTAACATAGTTGGATCTCAGCCAATCAGAGAGTTGGAAATTATTCAATCATATAATAATATGCATTACTTTGTGATGTAATTCGCCCCAAGCCTGAAAGTTATGTCATTTCTGTCTCATTCAGAATTAACTATAAACTCACGTTACCTTATCTCCTCCCAATCTGTTACAAGAAGCTATTTAGAAAACAGGGCTTTCATATTTTACGTGTACATTGCCTTTGATAAGATCTTTCCAAATATACTATGGTTTTTAGCCCAATGACCTTGAAGTTTGACCATTACAATATGCCATAAATAACTGCAACCACTAAGACACTGAAAGCAGGAAGCACCATTCTATGAATCTACTTGTTAAATTTTAAGGTGCATTATAAACAAAATATTCATTGGTGGAATGTAACTAAGTATAGTGAAAATATACATTTAAAAAGTCTCTCCACATTTTGCATATTTATTTGTAAATATCGACAAATTGGCCATATTCCAGAGGAATCACTATTTTCAATCGTCAGCTTCATAATTATTAGTTATAAAACATCAGGTAAACCGACAGAAAACTACCATGTATATGTAGTACCATTTAGTTATCATGCTTGGAAACAAAATTTAATGCTTTGATCGAAAATTTATTTTAAGAATCACTACTTTCAGCTTTCCCATTGAAAAGTAATGGATGTACATGTACCTGTACATGTAAGTACATATACACACTATGGACATGTACATGTATAATTACATAATTATATATTAACAACAAATTGCCAAAATGAAATTCTCATAGTTGTACACAAATGAAATGGTATTTAAGCAACCTGTTAACAAACATCAAGTGGTAGTACTATGTTCATCTTTCTGACTTATTAATTGTCATAAATGCAGTAGTACCTGGCCTATGCATTTTCACAAATCAATAAGGATATGCAATGCCACCTTAAAAAAGTTTTTTCCCCCTCTCTCAACCAACTGACTAAAAATTTGATGACTCAAAACTTTTTTTAACCTTTGGATTTTTTTTCTTTCCTTTACTTTCTTTACTTTTTTCTGCGGAATCTTTTTGACATGATCTTAAGAATTTCTGGGAAAAAATTACCCACCTACGTACCAAACCGAAATTATTATTTTTAGGATGTCCTAAATTGATCCTCACGTAGCTTTTAAACCCGTTTTTTTTTTAAATATTGTCAAACTCAGTAGGAACCAAGAAAAAACAAAACTTTGAGGTATCTGCAGATTCAAGATATTAATAAGTGCATTTATTGACTGCTAAAAAATGATGAGACACACCAGATTTTGCTTGATAATTCTTTTAAAGTTTTTAATCAGTCTAATGCACTCTTTCTAAGAAATGTATAAATGTCTTTTATTTTTTATAGTTAATGGAATCATGACATGAAAAACATTCTGCAATGCACTCTCACTGACACAGACACTTTATAAAAGCATTTAAATTTTTTGCAATTTATCATGAATATAGCACAAATTTTACCATTTCAATGTGCATTTAAATTAGGTTAAAAAAAGTACAATTCAAATGTATGAAATTCAAGTGTTCCTCATTTTTAAAAGTATGTTAAAATTCAGTGAAATTCCAAACGTGAATGCCATACCATAAAATTAAAATTTTAAGAGGCAGTCCACCGTAAATCCAGGCAGTATTGTATTAATAGGCGGCACATCGAATGTGAGGAATATTTGGTAATTTATTAAAAACAATATCAATGTAGTCCAAAAGGAATAATGTAACTGAAGATTTGTTTGAAAATTGCTTATTTAGTAAAATATCCTTGTGTTTTGTGTTTTTGAATTCCCCTATATAAACCATTGAAAGTAGGTAAGAAACAAAGAGCTGTAATTTCCAATACAATTTTAACAGGACTATAATTCACACTTAAATAAACCTAGAAATATTTCATCTT